AGATGCCTTCTTTAGTCTCCCATTTGCACCAAACAGCCAAGGTTATTTCGCCTTTGAGTGGCATGACCCAGACATTGAAATAAGTGGGCAACTGACTTGGACAAGACTGCCACAAGGATTCAAGAATTCACCCACCATATGTGATGAGGCTCTCCATGAGGATCTGGGTGAGTACCGCTCCCAGCACCCCCTTGTCTCTCTTCTACCATACGTAGATGATATACTAATAGCCACCAGGTCAGAGGAGGAATGCCTTAGCGAAACGGAAGATCTTCTAAGGACACTGGGGACATTGGGCTATTGGGCCTCAGCTAAAAAGGCCCAGATCTACAAGAAACAGGTAACTTACCTAGGGTATGTGCTAAAAGAAAAAATAAATAAATCGGACCCTAAAAGAGACCCTAACCAAATTAGCCCTCGAGACTGGTGGTGACTGGATGACTCTTCTCCCCTTTGCCTTGTTCCGTGTAAGGAGCTCCCCTTATCAGCTGGGGATGACACCCTTTGAAATAATGTATGGTCTGCCTCCACCCCTTGTGCCTAGCCTCTAGACAGAGTTGATTCTGCCACCAGAAGAGGTAGACCTTCTTGAGAGCCTAAAAACCCTCATCTGAGTACAGAAAGACATTTGGCCTCAACTGCGGGCCCTGTACTCATCCTCCTCTCCCCCTGAGACTCACAGTTTCGAGCCTGGAGACTGGGTCCTGATCCAGAGGCATCAACACAAGTCCCTGGAGCCATGGTGGAAAGGACCCTACCTCGTCATCTTGACCACCCCAACGGCTCTCAAGGTGGACGGCATCTCCACTTGGATCCACCACACCCACGCCCGACCTGTGGTGCCTGCAGCTGAGGAACATCCAGCCGGAACCTGGAGAGTGTCCAAGCATCCTACTGATCCCTTGAAGTTAAAGCTACTACAGTATATGAGACAAAGACTAGGCACCATACAACTCATGGTGCAATGGGGTTATACTCAAGTCAGGACCACTGAGTACGAGTCATATGCAGACCCCGAAGTGAGGTCATGGGAATCTCATGAACTAGAACAAGTTAGGGGCCCATGATTGAGCCCCTCTAGGGCCAAGAGAAGGAGGGAATGAGAGACCCCCACCCCAGTTCCCCCTAAGGCCTGGAGAGCTGAGGAAAGGGACATCTTAAAATAGCCAAAACCAAGTCAGTTCCCCAATCCCAGACAGGGTAAAGTCAGAAGTTTTAAAAGTACAAAATCAGACTGTCTGGTGGTAGCTAACCACGAGACGCCCCCCTCCCCTGAGATAACATGACCAAATTTTGGAGATGAGCTGTAAAACTCCTGACAGAGCAAAAAATAAGATAAAAATCCAAACTCAGGAAAACTGGACCAATCAAGGGTGGACCCGTACTAACCCCCTCCTCTCTGAAGAATTCTGTGGTTTTTGCCTTCAAAATCTAATCTCCCCAAGAAAGAGGAACTCTCCTCCCTGCCTCGCTGCGCCGGGCACTGCGGACGGGGGTTCCTTGCTAGCTCGTATTGCGCCAAGAAGTAAACCTTGCTATTGCATTCTGGATAGATCTGGTCTCCTGGTGGTCTCTTTGGGGGTCCTAATCTGGGCATAACATCTTATCACATCCTAAGGACCTTGTGGAATATTTTCAACAGTCTATACATCGTTCAGCAGCTGAGCTCTAATTAAAGCTGCAAGGCTCACAAAATAACAAGAAAGCCAGGATGAAGCAATGCAAGTAGGACATCCTAGCAGTTAATCGCAGTCTGTCTTTTTCCAATTTAGGCTAAATTCTAATGTACCTAATGTGGGATGTAAAAGCTACACTGGAGCAAGCTGGGCCTTCTGCTGAACTCACCAAATACCGAGAAAAAAAAAAAGAGGGGTGGGCGTGGTTTTATTTTCAAAATGCTTCAGAATTTATTCTATTACAAAGGAACATGGCTGAACAGGTAAGAGACAGACTCTCCATTGTGGGTTCTCCTGATAGCTTCTGCAAGGATCATGGAGATATCAATCACCTGTATTTTGGAGCAGTGTTTCATCTTATCCTCCTGGGGTATGGTGTTGGTGACGACTACTGCTTCAAAACATGCGTTGTTGATACGGGAAATGGCTGGGCCAGAAAAGATTCCATGCGTCAAGATGGCATAAACTCTGGTGGCTCCAGCGGAGAGAAGCTTGTCAGCAGCATGACAGATGGTACCACAAGTATCAGCCATGTCATCCACCAGGATGGCCACCCGGCCCTTCACATCTCCGACTAGCACCATGCGGTCCACTTCATTGGCCTTCTTCCGTTCCTTGTGAATCAAGGCAAAATCCACATTCAATCGGTCTGCAATGGAGGTGACTCTCTTGGCTCCACCAGCGTCGGGTGAGACAATAGTACAATTTCTCCACTCAGATATATTCTCCTTTATCCACTTTAAGACAGCGGGCTCTGCATATAAATTGTCCACTGGGATATCAAAGAAGCCCTGGATTTGAGATGCATGTAGATCCATGGTGATAATATGATCTGCTCCTGCCACAGAGAGCATATTCGCAACAAGTTTAGCTGAGATGGGAGCCCGGCTCTTATCCTTCTTATCCTGGCGGGCGTAAGGGAAGCATGGGATGACTGCAGTCACCCGGCTGGCTGAAGCAATCTTGCAAGCATTAATCATGATCAAAAGCTCCATTAGATTGTCATTTATCTCACCACACCCACTCTGAACAATGTAGACATCTTCTCCACGTACACTTTCTCCAATTTCCACACAGGTCTCCTGGTTGCTGAATTTCTTAGTAACCACCTTGCCTAGCTCCAGGCCCAGGCGGTCGGCAACTTTCTGGGATAAGTCCTGGTGGGAGCTCCCGCTGAAGATTTTGATGTTCGGCATCTTGGGCAACTGCACAGACGCACTGCACAAACGCACTCTTTTCTCGGCGGTCACCGCAGCTGCGGAGTCTGGTCCCGAAGTCAGCCGGCAGCCCGAACACGCACAGCACCGCGTTGCTACTCCGCCATCTTCTAGTCTTAAGTTCCTGTTTCAGGGGCTCTCATCGCTCCTCCCCCAGGACCTTCGCTGTCGCTCTAGGAGTTGTGGAGGACTTGCTCTTTGTGGTACTAGATTAGGAACAGTGCTTTGCGAACGGAGGAGGAGAAACACTCCTTTTCCCCCATTCAAGGATCAGACAGAGGAAACCGCGAGTTGCCATAAAAGGAAATAAACTTGTTCTCACGCAGAGGAAAAAGTTCGAAACACAATCTCCTGGTGTCTGCTGCCACCATGTGGTCATGTACATTTGTTAACTTGAAACTTGGGTTTTCGTTATAAGGCTGGTCCTACGCCCAAAGAAGGAATAGATGAAGTACAGAGAATTTAAAGCTTGTTTTTTTTTTTTTTTTTTTTTTTTTTTTTTTTTTTTTAGCACAAGCTGGCCTCAGTTTGTCCCCTAAATCAACCTAGGCTCTCTGTACTCTCGGGCACACAAGTTGCCGCTATTAAATAAATACCTTTTCCCCCTCATGGTGCGCTGTCCTGAGGCAGGACTAAATCCATGCTTCCATGTCGGGGCCCCTCCTCCAGCTTGAGACAGAGAAACCCCCAGATAACTGCCTGTCATCCCTGACCTCTAATATTTATGGCTTGTGTAATCCCCCTTTCTCTTTACTTTGAACGTAGACGGTACCTGTGACTTGTCATTAGTAGAACAGGGCAGAGAGGATGGGTTGTCATTTCTGATTGTATCATGTGGTGTTTGTAATGTCCACATTACTACCAGGCTGTCTCAGTCTCTTTCTAGGCTTTCATATGTGACTAAGTAGCCATGCTTGGGGAAGCGGAGTGATAAGGAGCTGAGGGTGGTGATTGCTATCAGCCTGTAAGGGACGGAGCCATCAGGGCAGCAGGACACGGGCAGTCAGGTTTAGCTATCAACCATGTTAACTTGGAAGCAGATCATTCTCCAGTTGAGACCCAAGCCCTGGATAATATCTGGATTTCAGCCTCTCGAGGGAGTGTCCAGATTCTATAAAGGAAGAAAAAGTTGCTATTTTCTACCAGTAGGTGGATGAGGACCTTTACCCATAACAGAAAACCAGAACACAGATCTTTGGTTTTACCTATTACCTTTTTGTCTACAGGACTGCATCACGCAACTTAGTATGTGTTGCTCCTCATGGCTTACTCAGCCTGATTGATTTCTCCCTTCCCTTCCTTCCTTCCTTCCTTCCTTCCTTCCTTCCTTCCTTCCTTCCTTCCTTCCTTCCTCCCTCCCTTCCTCCCTCCCTCCCTCCCTTCTTCCTTCCCTGCCTGCCTCCCTGCCTGCCTCCCTCCCTCCCTTCCTCCCTCCCTCCCTCCCTGCCTCCCTCCTTCCTTCCCTTGGTTTTGTAGTTTTGGTGCCTGTCCTGGATCTTGCTCTGTGGACGAGGCTGGCCTCGAACTCACAGAGATCCGCCTGGTTCTGTCTCCTGAATGCTGGGATTAAAGATGTGTGCCATTGACACCCGGCTCAGCGTGTTTTTTTTTTTTTTTAAAAAAAAGATTTATTTATTATGTATACAAGTATTCTACCTGCATGTATGCACGCAGGCCAGATCTAACTACAGATAGTTGTGAGCCACCATGTGGTTGCTGGGAATTGAACTCGGGCCCTCTGGAAGAGCAGCTACTGCTCTTAACCTCTGAGCCATCTCTCAAGCCCCATCGGCCTGCTTTCTTATACATTGCAGGACCAGCCCCCATGAGTGACACTGCCCACAGCGATCTGGGTCCTCCCACATCAATTATTAATCAAGAAAATGACCTACAGATATGTGCACAGGACAGTCTGGTTGAGGCAATTCCCCAGCTGAAGTTCCCTCTTCCCAGATGACCCGACCTTGGGTCAAGTTCACTAAAAACTAACCAGCACAGAATGTTTTTAAATTAAATATGATCAACAAATAACCACTTGGTTTAGAATTGTTCTTGGCCTCCCATCAAGATTCTGGCACCAAATCGGCTTGCTGGGCTAGCTAGCTCCTTTAGGGCAAATCTTCTGTCAGGAGGTATCCCAGCTCCTTGTGTGTGTGGGTGGGGGACTGTATATGTAATTTACCAGCTAAGTTTAAACAGGCTGAAATCTAACCCAGCAGTTGACTAGACTTGAGTTGAGGTTGAGATCTCATCAGACACCTCAGCAGCTTGCCAAATGTGCTACATCATTGCAGCTGACCTCACCACGACTGACAGCAAGCCGCATTCTTCATTTTTAAAAGATGCTTCAGGCTGGGCATGTCGATTAGGAGTAGAATGTTTGTCCAGTATGTGAGAGGCCCAGAGTTCAAGTCCCAGCACCACCAAAGAAAAAATAAACAAATAAAAAGATGCTTTGTTCTTATGTTCTAAAGGGGCACCTGGGTAACATCGGAGTGGTGCTGAGAGGCAAAGCTGGGCACGGCAGTGCCATAGACAATCTGCTCAATCTCAGATACAACCGGGAGCTTTTAAGACAAAACAAAACAATAAAACTGCTCCCAAACTTAATGTATGCCACTGGGGAGGTAGTTGGTTTTTCAATGGCATGCTTCTGACAGATCATGCTGATAAATGTAAGGAAAGTAACCTAGAATGATTAGTTAATTATGGATTAGTCAAAACCATCTGCTGGGGCTGGCAGACGACCCTGCGGGTGAAGGAAATGACCTAAGACCTGAGGCCCACGTGGTGAGAGGAGCTAATGCCAGCACCTTGTCCTCTGACCATCGCATGTGCACTGAGACGTGCGTGTTCCCGTGTGTATGCACACTAAATAAGTGCTAAAAAATTTATTTTTATACCAAATACATCTTTTAATTGATTCTAGAGTTTATAAGGGATCATCACCAAGCTCTTCGGTTTTTAGATTTAATTTTATTCTTATTTATTTATTTATTTATTTATTTATTTATTTTATTTGGTTTTTCGAGACACGGTTTCTCTGTGTAGCTTTGCGCCTCTCCTGGAACTCACTTAGTAGTCCAGGCTAGCCTCGAACTCACAGAGATCCGCCTGGCTCTGCCTCCCAAGTGCTGGGATTAAAGGCGTGCTCCACCACCGCCCGGCTTATTT